TTTGGCGGAGAGAAGTGGCCGCCTTATACGAGCCACATTGCCTTTGAGCTGTTTAGGGAGAAAAACGACCGTGGGGCTGCAGCAAAGGGCCAAACGCCCGATGCTGATTTCCTGACGCCAACGACGCCGGCAAGTACGGAGCCCAAGAATCAGTCAAGACAAGGCGAGCAGGCCGCCGCGAAACCGGGGTTCTTCGCCTCCTTTCTGGGTCTGCGATCTCCCTCCTCGACTAGCGATTCAGCCTTCACCGGCTCGAGAGACGCCTCATCAACCTCCTCCACGACCTCGCCATCAAGTCCGCTTTCTACGCCCTCAGTCTCGCGCTCCTCCAGCATATCCCCTTCCATCCCGCCCAAGGATTTGATTGCGCGGACTCCGCACTCGGAACTCTCCGAGGCCCAAAAGCGCCGGCTGGACGGCTACTACGTGCGGATCCGGTACAACGACCGGGTGATGAAGATCCCCGCCTGCGCGAAGCCAGGGAACAACTACAAGGGCGACGAGTCGCTGTGCACGTTCGAGGCCTTCAAGCGCGTCGCGGACGGCTTCGTCCCCAAGAACTGGAAGGTCCAGTGTGGTCAAAATCTCGACGAGGGCGGCAAGGCTGGCAGTTTGTTGACCGCACCGGGACTCGATCTCCCCGCTGAGTGGGCGGGGCAGATCGAGGAAGGTGCGTGAGGTTTGGGGAGGTTGGAGCACCTCAGATCGCGATGTGGAGAGAGAGAGGATATCGGTGCGAGGATGGTGATGACTGAAGGACGAGGAGCAAGGGAGGCACGTTGGATATCCGCCCTACGCCTCTCTATCTCTCCTCTCCTCTCTCTTTTTTTTTCTCTCTACCTCTTTCTCTCTCTCTGCTTTCATCCGTCTTATTTCCCAGTCCGCTACACACCCCGCCCTCTATCCGCGGGGCTTGCCGGCCGCTCACGACCGTCTTGTCTGCGGAGCATTACTGAGCATGGACGTGTTGCGCACTTGAAAAAGTACGAAGGGGGAAAGCAAGGCAACCAGACCTCCCGGAAGTCAAAACCGCTTGCTTTGCTTTGCTTTGCTTTGCTTGGGCGAGCAAAGACGGACAGCAAACAGAACAGAACAGAACAGAACATGAGAGAACACACAGTACACGCAAGGCATAGCATTGCAGGGCTCGAATATTTTAGACAAGACTGATGCTGGACAAAATTTTAGACGAGGGTAGGGTAGGCTAGGATACTTCCTACATCCTAGGCAGGCACATACGAGGAGATAAACGACAGATTAGACGGGGCAACTAGGGGAAGTAATAGTGCCAAAAATCATAGGCGAGAAATTAGTTGATCGACCTCCTCTTCAGTTCCTTTCTCTGTTTTCTTCGGTGAGCTCATCCCAGACTAGAATGGAGTGGAATGGAAGAGCCGTAGAGAGGACTCAAGGTCGTCCTGTGATCCGAGCTGCTCGTTTAATAATTGTATATAACAGAGTCTGGAGCGCGGAATCTGGCATCCGCAAAGAAAGTCGTGGGGGGTTTCGTCCTTCAGCGGTGCTCCTGCTCCCTCCTTCCGGAGCTTTTCTTCCTGCAACCTTGATCATTTCATCGTACAGGAGACAGTTGAATCTCATACTGTCTTTTCCTCCCCCTGCCCACCTCATCTGCCGGCTGGTTTGGGTTTCCTTTTATCGCACGGTCTACTTCGCTTTGTCCATCTTGCGTATGTGTTATCCCATCCACGCGCAAGAGGCCCCAGATCATACCGTACGAGATGGTCGATTTCGTTATTTTGATGGCGACGAGCGGTCATTGGATGTGCCTCGCAGAGCGAGTGCACAATGGTGTAAATATGGCCATTGCTGCTTGGAAGCAAGAAGCCTATAATGCACTCAAGATGCTTTCACCAAGCGTATGCATACCCAGCCTGCGCATGCAGCGGATCATCTACCCAATCTGTCCTTGGATTTGGCGGAACATCAAAATGTGCCTTCTTCTTCGCGGCCACGTGCTCGCCCTCGACGGGTTTCTGCCTGCTGGGTCGACTCGGCGTCTCTATGATCTCAGTTGTTGACTCGTCGCCTTCCGCATCCAAGCTCACATCCCCAGATAATGGGGACGGACGTAAAATGCTTTTGAAAACTACCCGTCCTTCGTCTCCAGACAAGTACCCAGCTTCAAATGCAGTACTCGAAGCAAAGAGAAAGGGACACCTGTCAGAACTGCCATTGTCGGCAATACAATCAGGCAGCCAACAACCCCAAAAGTCTGTCGAGGTTGCATCAATGGGGACCAGGCCGGATGCGGGAGGAAGGGTCTGCTGGTACCAAGCATACAACCTAGGGAGTCTTGAGCTTGTGAGGACGATGAGGACATGCGGAAGGGAAGGATGAAATTGAACCTGGCGGATGGAATGCGCGAAGACGAGTACAGTATGTGGATGCGATGTATTCTGTAGATTCCAGAGGAATAATGTTCGAGGCGAGGAGCGCAGACACGTGGCGACCAGAGTATGTGTTGAGTCGACTTCGATCAGGTCGACTTGGTCGAGCTCCTGTGACGGGAGCTGAGAATGAGACGCAGAGCGGGGTTGTGAAATTAAGTCGGTGCCAGACGGTGTGTGTGCAACCTCGAAAGTACCAGTCTGGCGCAAGAACGTTGAGAACATGTCGGTGCTAGACTCCAGCCATACAAACGTCTTTGACCCTTCAATCAAGTCTGGATGAATAAGTTTCATTCGCATGCGAGTTCCGATGTTGTTGGAGGACTGGTACTGGACAAGCACTTGCTTCTGTCCGTTGGCGAGTGTTTGGAGCGTAAGAACGTCGTTGTGTCGATATGCCCTGACCCATCTCCAGTAGGTAAGACCTATACCATCCACTTGAGGGGAGAGGGCAAGGTTGAGATCCCAATGGAATGCCGACGAATTAATTTCCAATTGCCTTAGCGTATGGCCCTGTGCAGTCATGAAGGAGACCTTAACGCCATATGTTGGCGAGTCCATCACTGCCAGAAGGGGCTGTCCGTTCGGGCACCACGTCAGATCCTGGGCGTCTGAGGTGTTGCATTCAAAGGACTTGTACGTCATCTGGTTGTTGTCTCCCAGTTCAAACACGGTTACTCTGTCCTGTGCTTTGTCACGACGGAGCAGGGCAAAATACCTAGAATCGGGTGATTTTGCCAGACTCCTCGTATCTGAAAATTTGATGTGAGGAATATCGTTTCGTTGAGGCTTGGTCAAGGAGAGTACAGCCGCTACAGAGCCAAACTCGAACATGACTAATGCGTGTCTGTGGTTAAAGACGAACTCGACGAGGCTGAGCTTGCCCAGTTGGCCCCCTAGTCCATAATCCGCAAGGATGTTGGACTTAGCGCCTGCCTCGTTGTCGACCGCCGACATCATCCCGGGTGTTCTGATATCCGTGCTCAGTGCGATGAGGCGTTTGCCGTCTGATAAAAGCAGCCAGGATTGTCCAAAGTCACACTCTGACGTGGTTGCGGACTGGACCTCTGCAGCGTCGTCCCCAGTGCTAATTATGGTCTCTGGCGACCAGCGAAGGATTGTGCAAGTTCGCAGGAACGAGCGGGCGCTCTTAGGGATCTTGATGCCATTGATGAATCTCCGTCCTTTGGCAGCCTCGCTGAGATCGATGAGGTGTATTCGTTCATCTGGCGCGATGACCGCCAGCGTTTTGCCATCCGGCGACAAAACTGGACGCTGGAGGGCTTTCCCATCACATTTGATCAGTATTGTGTTTGTCAATGACAGAGTCAAGCGTCGAAGGATCTAAAGCTGGTGATTACGCAGGGGAAAGACTGACCAGCACAACAGAAGGGGAAATCTGGGAGAGTGTTTGCCATTAATGGGGTTGTGCATCTTACTGTTTCCACTCAACACTTCCATCAAATCTTCCCAGGGCGGTTACTTTGTCTGCAGCACAGCTCGTTGTTTGAGTCACGGGTAGGTCCTGCCTTGCGTTCAAGACGTCTTTGGTTACAGTGGGGTGTAGGTATATACGAAGGAGCTGGATGGCATGGTCCATCTGCCGCACAGACAACAAATAGCAAATCGTAGCCTCCCCGCAAACACGACGCGCGAACGAGACGCGTCGACCGAAACGCGAAGTCACCTGATATGGATGAGTCAGCGGCCCCCTATCCGAGTCTTCTTCCTTTTACCTCAGTCCAACTTTTGTCCCTCGCGCCCATCCTCCATCCGGTACAACTTATTTCCTCTTTTCGCAGTAGCTCCAGAATTCCAAGACGGAGTCTGAACGCCTCTTGGGAGCCCGGTCACCCCCATTTTGACTTCTTCTCCAATGTTCCCAGGTTTGGCTGAATAAGAGAAACAGTGGACCACATCCTCGTACTCGAGCTAAAGGGTTCGCTTCTGCTTTGAATCTCAAAGCTTATTGCACGAAAGAGATGGTCCCCAATACCACAGGACTTGTACTCAGTAGGCCCTGGTCAAGTACGAAAGTACGACATGATTATTCTTGTGGGCCGTTAGGTCATGCCATTCGTCTTGATTACTTAACTGCTCCGGCCGCATCAACGCCCATACACGAAGTCAAATTTGACGCTTAGGATACAGATTTCCAAGCTCATCGAGATCACTGGCGGTGGTATCATGAGGTTAAATCCAGTCATTGGTCGACTGAATTACTGTCTGCCTAAATCATTATTTGGTTCCCGATGATGGACACCGGCCTTTCGAAAATCTGAAAATCATTGGGACGACATCTTGATAGGTTGGCTAATATTATGCCAGTCTCCTTCCAACTCATCTATCTATGCGCTACGCTTTGTGTCTGTTTACTCCAACATGGTTTTTTTTAGTACGAAAACAATTAATGATCTACGAAGGGCCAACTTCATAGACGGGCTCCGGGACAACCACTGCGCCGGTCGACAGACGATTCCATGTATTTAAGACTAAGTACCCCCTGTGATATCTCAAGTCGCCATCTAAAAAGCATTTACGGACTTGTTGATTTACATCTTTTGACGCCTCTTGATTCTGCTTGACTTGAAAATGAAGACAATCGTGTTCATTGGAGGCACCGGCGCTCAGGGCGGTGCCATCATCCGGACACTCTCTTCCACAAATGAATACAAGGTCCTCGCCCTGACACGCAGCACTTCTTCGTCCGCCGCCCAGGAAATTGCCCACCTTCCAAATGTCGAACTTATAGAATCCAAGGCATCCTTCGGTTATGATGTTGACAAATTCTACGAGGCTGCACAGCGATCTGACTACGCTTTCATCAATACTGACGGTTTCGCGCTTGGAGAGCAAGCTGAGACATACTGGGGGATTAGACTGTTTGAGTTGTCAGCCAGGGCCGGTGTGAAACATCTCATCTGGAGTGGACTCGATTACAACGGAAGAAAAACCGGCTACGATCCAAAATTCTACGTTGGGCACTATGAAGGGAAGGCAAGAGTTACAGGTATGAAGCAACCGTACTCAATTTCGAGCACGTCCTTACTGACTTTTGAGCCAGAATGGATGCGTTCTCAGCCGACTAGTCCAATGGCCTGGTCCGTCATCGTAAGTACTGCTTGACTTGAGGCGTTATTATAGCTGACTGACAATTGCAGAACTCGGGACCCTACATTGAAATGCTTTGGGAGCTTCTTCTCCCAGAAAGGGGCAGCGACGATGTATACAGGTTCAAGCTCCCACTTGGCCAAGGGGCCATCCCCTTCGTCCATCTGGGCGACTTCGGTCGCTATGTTGCATGGATCTACGCAAATCAAGACGAGTCAAATGGCATGATCCTAGACATTGCCGTTGCTCACGTCTCGGGTCCAGATCTCGCCAAAGCCTTTACAGCTGCCACCGGCAAGAAAGCCGAATACATCTACGAGCCAGCCAATGAGAACGTTGAGAAACATTTCAAGCATTTGCCAAAAGGTGTGGACACTAAGGTCGGAATTACCTCTGTCAAAGACGAAAACGCTCTCCTGTTGACGTTTGGTGAGAACTTCACCAACTGGTGGAACCTGTACCAAAACAGCGCACACAACAAAGGGATTATTCAGCGTGACTATGTTTTGTTGGATCGTATCTTGCCTGATAGGGTCAAAAGTGCTGAAGAGTGGATGAGAAAAGTTGGGTATGATGGCACGAGGCGTAAAGTGATCAAATCCAGAGAGGCGGTGCCTCCAGCAGCGTAAGAAGGAGGAGGAGAAGGGGCACAGCCGGAGCAATTCCTGACGTGCAGCAGGGCGTAATACTCTGGAGATTGCAAGAAACGGGGAAGATGAGGACAAGTGTGCAGATTGTCACTTTCTAATAACACCACCAATCCACACTATATACCTGCTCCGCTCCCGAGTATTTGATTCTCAGCTCTCCGCACACAATCCCAGTGCGATCTCACTTATTTGTGTATATAGTTGCCTAAAACATCTGAGTGCTGTGGCCGTTTCCGTATCTGCATATTTATAGAGCAGCGGAGGAGGATTGAGGCAGTCTCTGGAACTGGTTGAGACGGTTCCAAGTAAATGGCTGGAACATCCGTTGGCGGTGAACGATGCGGCATTGTCCGATTGCAGTCTTATAGGCCATTCTCGCTGTCTCTCGTGAACTGACCTGCTGGCAACCGGGTTAACTGGGCCTTTGATTAGGGCGAGCCGCGGCTTTGCTCCTTGTTGCTGTCTTCCCAATGTTTCTTCACAGATAAGAAGTTTCGCGCCGAGGCAATAGCTAGTTGCTGTGGTCCATAGAAAACTAACTCCCTATTACACCAACTAGCAGCAGACTTTAGCTGAGCTGGAGGCTATCAGATCCAGAATCAGACGCCCAACTCTCGATGAAGATGTCCAGAGACACACCGAGGATACAAGGCTTGCATGTTCTACTCGGTATACCCCAACGAGCGAAACCAGGGGCTTATTAATCCTAATCTAGCGCAAGGCTGCCAAGAAATTCTGGAGCGGTCATGAAATCGCGGAAGTTCTGGGCGGCGAGTGGGATCGACTGCCCAGTCCATTCCCATCAACAATTTCAAGTCCTCCGCATTCTTTACGCTGTGATGACTGTGCCTTCTGTTATTACGAACATAACTTCTTCTCAATTGCTTTCAGCGCAAGGCGGCCCTATAAATTCCTCTCGGTCAATTCCGTGCTTGCTAAGTTCATTTCGTCCGTACCGGCCGGGGGCTTTGTCTGAACGCAAACAGCACCATGGTCTCTTGGAGATGAAAACAACCAAGAAAGGTCCACAAAAGTAGGCCGCGTACTTTCCCGAGGGAATGAAGACGGAACTCCCATATGTCCATCAGCAGGAAATATATTATTTTGCATATTAGTTGTCAGGTGCGGAGACTGCAACCATTTTGCCCGTTGTGCAAGACAAGAGACCGTGGATTCGATCTCCTTCGGGCTGTTCACGGCGCAAGATAATTACCTAGCGCTGTGTTGTTGAGTCCCAACGTCTTGATCTGGGCAAAGCACAGACTGTTGGCATGCCCCAGTCATTCATCCAACCAAATCCGCCTGGTCTCTCTTCTAACCCTGATCAGCCATGCAATCCAGAACGATTTGTTCTTCTCCAACGGGCTCTGAGGCGCCCACGATGCCAAAGGCAGCGATGCTGCATGAAAAGCCAGCCACAACGTCCCCAATATCTCTACGCTGCGTGACAGTGCAGTCTTCACCAATTTCATCATTAGCGATGATCCGCCCCGAGGCATTCTCGTTGTCTATCTGGGCACTCGTCCTTCCTTGAGCTGGACCTCTTTCGACAATGCGCTTTGCTCTCCTGCGTCCTTTCCAACTAGTCTCCTCGCATTTCTGGTCTGCATAAAGGAGATTCCAAGGCCCGTGCTCATAATATCCGATTGCGGATGTTGCGAGGCCTCTTACATTATAAATTGGATAGGCTAAGTACAGATACCTCCTCAGACCTCTTGAGGAGCCTTTTGCTCTGTTCTTCAACATATCGATTTGGCCTCGAGTTCATAATTTGATTGTCATCAAAACCATAAATCCCCATCCAGGGTGGTACAGGTCGAGGTCGGGATGGTCCTAGTGAAGCCAGTCCCGCTCCGCATATTAATCTCCTGCGTCCACTGCCTGTCCACCGTGAGCTTGGCTACCAGGCGAATCCTCCTGTTCCTCAATTGCCACTCACCGATGGTGATAGACAAACGCTTCTTATAGCTCTTAGAAGCTAGCTTGGCTATCCTCACGCGCTGACTAGGGCCCCTTACACTACCATCTCCAACGAAACGGCTGGGATGTGAACCGTGCCGCACAGGCAATCTTAGAGGACGATCATATCCCTTCTGCAATCCCGGACCCTGACATGCCGCCTTGGCCAGTTATCCGTCGTGGTTCAACCGTTGAAAAGGAGCGCCTTCGCCTGGTACATGACACGCAGAGCGCCCATCGGAAGCACAATCCACAGGTGGCCGCAAGCAACATCGAGATGATGCTCTTACGCAATGCCTTCAACTTTGTACAGGAGGACATACCAGAAGATATTGCTGAGCGGAATGGGAACTATGACAATTTTGAAACAGAGGCTGCAACCTTGCGTCCGCCTCCTGTCAATCAATTAGCCATGGATGAAAGACTTGCTAAGTTTTGGAAATCTCGTCCACTAACAGCGTGTACTCTGCGGGAAAACTTTTGAAAAAAAAAAGCAAGTGGAATGTCGCAGACGCTATTGATGCCTGGATGCGAAAAGTGGGAATAAAGGTTTCCTTCCCTCGCCAACGTGAGGGAGAGAAAGACGATGATAAGTTCCGGGAAGTCAATGTCAACTATCCTCCCCAAGCTCGAAACGGCTAGTTCGATAGTTTTGACCATGGCCGTAACGAATTTGATGAGTTTATATTGTCTAAGAAGTACAAAGCTCCTGGAAATGCAGACGGCGGCAACACAAACAGTAGCCCAGATACCAGCAACCCAGAAATAGTCATCTCAGGAGGCAGACCCGACGAACTCCAGAAAGTGCTGACGAGCTCCCCATCAAGGTCGAGAAAACGGCGGAGGACAATAGCGGATGAAGCGGAGTCGGAAGTGGAGCCTATCATACTGTGGGAAAGCGAACCTCAGCACAGATCCCAGCGCGGCTCCGAAGATGAATCAGATTCCGAAGGCGAATCAAAGCTATAAGACAGACGACGAGGAAGGCGAGTCCAATGATGAAGACCAAGGCGGAAAGAGAGTTCCAGATCGCGACTTTATGACTGGTACTCGCGGGGCAGCAGGTCATCGTCGAGGTTATTGGATCAATCCTGATCGCAGGCCAGCAATCATACACCGTCCAGATGCGACAAAATTATATATCGAATATATTAGTAAAGGCAAATACCACATGATTCTGTTCGGAGGAACGTACAAGGTCCGGGGAGGCCAAAACATGCCTTTGCACTGGAGCGAACTTCCCAATAATAGGCCAGAGGTCGAGTTTGATTGGCACAGCAAAGAAAAATATTGCACAGTTGAAAGGCTGGAGGAACGACAAGTCTAGTCAAATCACCGGCATTACTATATGGGATTCAACCGGTGGGCCATTTAGCAAGTACGAAGGGCAATGGCTCGTGGAACAGGAAGCTATGAGCATCGAGGAGAGTTTTGGACCAGGGCCGGCCAAGTTTTCGGCCAGCCCAATATAACTAATCCCCAACAGTTCCAAGAGACCAACGGCAGTTCTAGGATCGCAACACCTTTCCGATCCTATTGACTGGACGGGGAGGCCGTTGCTCTCATGGATCGGTTCAACGATGTCTTCTCAGGCAAGCGACTCTACTACAAGACCGTTTTCGACCTGAACCCCACCGTGCCCGGCGGCTTCACTGTTCGGACCCTAGCGAAAGATCTACGTCGACAGTGGGCGACGTGCCACGACCACGGAGGAGTCTACTCGAGATCAGACAGCACAGATCCCGAATCGCTGCTTACTGCAAGCACTATATGTTGAAACATGATAGACCCAAGTTCAGGAATACTCAGGATGAGTCTGAATTTTAGTCAGCGACAGCGACTCGGATTTTGACGTTGTTGTTGGAGATGGAGGTGGAGCAGGAACTGGTGCTGACCCTGCGAATCCTTCTGTGGGGAATAACAACGGTGGGAACCAGGGTTAGACTGGTGGCCGCTGGTATCATCCTTTGTTAATCTGTCCCGTCTCAAGAAACCCTGACATAGCACAGTGCATCTCGGTCAACGAGGGCCACACATATCTAAATCTTCGAAGCCACGGTTTCCAGCGCCACCGCCAGCGAGGACCCAATCGTTGGCATCCTGACCCTCGCCGGGTGTTGAGGCAGGGGTGGAAACGGATTCTCCACAAGAAGGGTTGTTGTGGTACAGTCATGTGCGAAATTGATGTCCTGTCACAACTGGCATAGAGAGTTTCTGGATGAAGTGGATTGTATCCACCATAAAGTACGCTTTGCGATATAGGGTTAGACTGAGATCTGTGGCTTTCTGTACCGTAAAAAAAATAATTGTTACGAGACATTCAACAATATGTCATTTGATTCGTTGTGCCGAGGTTTGACGAATAACCTGGGCTGTGGGCATCGGAGCTGCAAGGTCACCACCTCTTAGACTTACCCAGTGCCGTGAAGATATCCGCAATCGATTTGTATTGTAACAGAGCACTTCAGGGTTCGGCATGCACGTGCAACAACGCACAGAGGCCTGTCCAGCAGATCGGGAATCGAGAACGCGTTTCTGGTTCATACCGACAACAACACCACCACCAACACCACCCAGAGAGGCAGCGGCTAGGGCTACGAACACCTAGCACAGCGGTAGCATCGAGGAACAGGACAGGACTGATAAAACACTCTCAAGAATTAGGTAGACGGCACCAAAACCCATAGAATTCATGATACTCTGCTTAAGCTAAAAATGAATGCCACACTGCCAGCACTGTAAACTGTTCTGCACCCCCTTCGCTGCCAGCCCATTTAGGTTTGACATGTGACTAGACAACTTTTTCACCCTGCCACCGCTCTACCAGCCCAGCACAGCACAGCCACCTTGCCTTGTTACAGTATATAGCTCTTTCAGCTACGTCTTCGTCTTTCTACCTAGCCTGCTTATCAATTCACAGACTATGCCTAGGTATGTAGGTCTGATCATCTTGAATGCTGTTTATACTACTCTGGCGACACTAACTTTTCAGCTGCCGCTCCCCGTGACGAAATGGCTCTTACCCTTCCGCCTCAACTTTTTCGGTGTCAGCATACTGAGTCATTTACAATTTGGGAGGATGGATGTTTTGTCTCGGCGGGGTATTATGGAATGCAAGCTAGTCATTGGCTGAACAGAAACAAGATCAGCAGGCATCTGAATTGGAATGACTGTTCTGAGGAGCCAACTCCTTTCATTTCTTTGTTTATAAATTTAGGTTATATTCATCAACGCCACCTACACGACGATGTCACTAACTATCTCCAGAAGATGCTACTGACCGTGCACGTCTACACGTTCGCCAGAGGAAGCATCCTGTCTTCGTGGCGGTCGTGAACACCAGTCACTTCCGCCAGGCGTCCTTCACCATTCAATTCTACGAGAAGTGCATCGACCTTCCGATATGGACAGACGGCGACGGCACTGTGGTTTTCTCGGTTCGTGATGCCGCTAGGCATTTCTTGATCGACTTTAGGACTGTTCAGGCATCTGAATGGCTAGCCATTTTCGACATTCCAGCGCACCTAATAGTACAAAGGATCGCTTTCTGAATACATCTGTATATGAGGGCCTTTCCGCCTGGACTAGAGATAGCAACAAGCTTTTAACAGCCCCCGTCGTAACTCGCAGTGCCTGCTAAATATTTCTAATGCCCTTAATCCAACTGCAGCGTGATCGACTCTCATCTATAAATCCGCCTAAGGAAGACGCATGCCTTGCTCATGTGCGCATGCTCATAAGAGCGATTGTCGTTTAACCCTTGGCTTTATCCTCCTAGCGCCTTTGCGGTAAGATAGGTCCCACCCGCAACCACAATCCCAACCGGCAAAGCCGCAGCTCCAAGTGTCCCAGCCAAAGCCCCTATTACACCCCAGCTTTGTAGTGTAGCAAATATACTTCCCGCGGGGACAGTAGCTCCATATAGAGAGGCTTACACTCCCGCTGCGATTGAACCAGCTTAGACACCAGTCGCGTAGAAGCCGATAGCGGGGAGAACGTAGGTAGTGCTAATCGCGGCGAGGGTGCCTATGCCAGCGACGATGACTAAGTAGATATTAGACAGAAGTTATGATAATGTCGGGAGAGATAATACCTAGACCAGCGTAGCTTTTAACTGTTAGGACCACGTTCATTTCGATAATGAAGAGACCAGGTAAGGCTAGGCTTATTAGAGCGTACTGCGGGCTAGGGAGAACTAATTCTAGCAACGAGGTGTCGATACGGAAACGTATGAAACTAGTTCTTTGCTGTGACGCGTAGATACGTTCATTGCCAACAGCAATGTAACTAATGGCGCTAGCTAAGGAGAATGTTGACGCTTCGTATACGAAGTTGCAGGCTACAACCGGAATGTTCCCCCAATCCTAAGGCCCAGCTGATAAACCCCGGCGAGCATTTCGAGGAAGTCCACTCCAACAGAAAACCCTTCGTTGAAGACTTAAAATGACACCAGTCCAGCAGTACTGTAACGTCATATATTTACAACCCCTACGATTATTGGACTGTGTTGCAAGCTACGCTAAACTAAAAGAAGAGAAGCGTACTCGGAAATAGATCACTCCACTAATCCCGGGACGGGTCTGCGCCAGCCGAACAGGACACCGAATTCGCACATCACTTTATGTTGTTGTTTCTTTTATTGTGTTTGTTGCAGCTTCCTGCAAGAGAAGAGAGGCCAATTGGATACTAAGATAAGCTGCGATCTAATTTTCTTCCTCAATGAAACATTTTCATTAGACTGCTCTCAAGCTGGCGGGTGGGGGTCTCCTCTACGAGCCCACAGCAATCGGTGTAGGGGACCTTGATAGATCTCCTTCTTGGCCCTAACCATCACATTCCGGCAAAATATAATGGCTGGATTCCGCTTCTTTGTCCCTGGTTCCTGGACCGTCGGCGCAAGCAAGCATGTATCCGTTTCCGATCCCTCGTAGTTTCCCGGACAGAACAAGCAGGTCCTAGCAAAGACGAAGACGAAGACCTCAGCTACCGCGCCAATCTTACTAACTTTCTGCTGTTTGTAGCGATGAAGGAAACCCAATGTGCGTTGGCTTGCAAAGGTTGCGTGTTCAAGTTGAACGCGACTTTGGGAGTAACTGAGGCCGAGGTTAATGGCTTCTGGGTCAATGTGATGAAGCCGCAAGAGTCTCGTCTGTGTCCTCGAAGCAAAATAGATAGAGTGCATGATGGATTTAGTTTCCAGTGTCCAAAATCCCTTTATTGATTCCCATTAGGTCAGATACATAGAATGGTTAAGATTCTAGCTCTTCGCAGCTACCGATTTTCTTTGTTTGCTTCCTCTTTCTTTGTCCTGCCGCGGAGTAGGTCGGCAGTATGCTTCTGGGCTAGCGGTTAGCGCTGGTTGCTCGATGCAGGATTACGAGGCCAAGGGAATTAGAGGGGAGAAATTCATCGATCATTGAATCGTAGTTACTATGTAGTTTACACTATATATATCCTTTCTTAACATGGTTCATATCCTAGACTTGAGCGGATGGTGAGATCATAATTCATTCCGCTGGCATTGTCTGCGGGACTTGCTCTCCTCTTTGTGACCCGCTGTATCCAGGTCATATAGCCGGCCAAGGACAATGGGAGGGGTGAAAATGCCACAGGCCGTGTTGACGGCTTCCAATGTCATCGGCAACATGTATGGGCTCCGGACATGGTCAAATGACGCCACAATGAATATCATGGTCTATCGGCGCCTTCAAACGACTCAAGCGCCATGCGAAAGTGTGATTCTTATTTTGTTCAGACTTTCATGGGCTCAGTGTAGGGGATGAAGAAGGCATGAGCTCTCGTCGGTTAACTACAAGCCTCCAGCCTTCAGCGCCATCAATGAGATGGGGGCCAATTCTTCGCGCTGGATCCGCCACGGGGAAAAGGGGCTTGCAGCCTCGTCGATCTGCCAAGACTCAACGACATCTTGAATAACCACATTCTTGAGAACAACTACGATATGGCTGCTTTATATATACATATATATATATATGTGCGTAACGGCTTTCAAAGGTGCTTACCACACTACAATCCAAGGGACATCTGTCAGAGTACAGCAGAGGCAAGAACAATCCCGCTGGCAGAGCAAGGCGCGGGCGCATTGGACACAAGAGAATAAAGACATTGGTCAAAGTCTCGAGACAAAAGATGCAATGGGTTCAACGACGCCGGAAACAGACCTAAAGCGCCGGATTAGGAGAAAGAGGAGCGGAGCGGCACTCTTTGATGGCTAATACCAGCGGCAGCACGCCTCGCCTCGCTCATCTCAACGTTTGTTGTGCCGAGTCGAAATTTGCTCAGTCTTCCTGTCACATTTCACGCCTTTCGCTGACAAGGCCACGTCTCAAGGATATGGATACTGAGCCTTTTTCAGTGCTGTTCCCCCCTATTCCGGCACATACGGCGCTCCTCGTACACCAGACGACGCAAAGGCATTGGACACAAAGGAGGTTCCGTATGTGCTGGTCGCATAAAGACCATTGTTGAACAAGTATCTGCAAAAATGGTACTTAATTGCCATTACTGGTCAGAGGCTCTGTGCTCGCATTCTCGAGTCCTTCAATGACTTTTCAACCTCTTCAGCCAACCTCCTCATCCATCATATACAGATATCACATCCGAATAAATGGATCCCCCCAGGAAGAAGACCAGAACTGCGGCTGGTTCTGCACCTGCCAGCTCAGCACCTGCCTCTACAACTGGTCCTTCCTCTGCCGCTGGTCCTTCTTCTGCAGCCGGGCCCTCCACTGCCTCTGCCCCTGCACCTACTTTTTCCTCTGCCGCCGGTCTGCCCCCCATTGCTGGTCTAGTTGCTAATGCACTGGTTAATCAAGTTGCTAATGCACCTCCACCTCCAGCTGCCCCTGTACCTGCCAATGTACAAGCCCCTGCCACGCAGCGTCAATTGACGGACACAGACCGCAGGCACAGAATCGACGCTCTGCGGGCAAGAATTAGCCCTCACCTTACTGACCGTTCCTTGTTGGAAACGTATCTCGACGTGGCAGATTGGGATGGGGAAGACGCCTTTGCCCTGTGGAATGCCGACAGGGAAAACATCCTTCGTGGCACCGCCGCGAATCAAAACAGCACAACATTGAGCGCTATGAATGAAAGTACGATCGTCGCCAGTTTCAATGCCATCCCGGAACATGAGAGACGGGATGCCGCCCTGGCATTCCGATTGCATTTCCAATCTCTATTCGCGGGGGAGAACTTAAGTCGTACAGAAGCAATACTCTATCTCCATTTCCACAGGTGGGATTTGGGCGATGCGCACGACAACATATCAAATTTAGAGGGGATCCGCCACAGGATTGAGGATTATGACCGGATGCGAACGCCTCTCCCAGAGGAGGTCGACATTAGCGACCTCGTTACCACGGCACAACAAGATGAACGGCTCGCCGAGTTCATAAGTATCACCGGACGGCCCGATTGGTGGTCCCATCGCGTGATATTGCAGGGTTTCGCTTGGGACTTGATTGCGGCTATCTCATATTGGTTCTTGGAGGGAGTACCTCCTTATCAACCGGAAAACAAAGAGAAACGGAAATCCACCAAAAAGGACCCTGACGGGAAGAAATATGAGTTCGGTCTCCGGGTGGGCGTCAATGAGAGGTCATTAGACTGGCCAACGGCAGAGCAATGCGAAGCATCCAGAACGGCATTCATGGACGATGGTTGGGAGGTGGAACCAGACCGATACTCCAAGCCAGACGATTCGGGGAATGCTTCAGAGTCAGATGAGGATGATTCCGACGAGAGCTCGTCAGATGATGACAATACTAAGAAAGGCAAGAAAGGGAAATTGAGCGCAAAGGCCAAGGGCAAACAGAGGGCAGTTTCTCAGTTAGACGAGGACGATTCCAACAAGGGAAAGAAAGGCAAAAAGAGCTTTGTGCCTAAAGGTGAAGGTTTTCTCCTCACCGTTAAGGGTGACCCTCTGGAACCAGCGTACACGGGCTGTCCGGATCCGTCGAAATTCCTTATCGAGACCATTTCCAGAGGAAGGTACGCTTTTAACCGCTTCAGACAGGACGGAAGGTTCATATGGCCGGGCCTTAATCAGAATAACCAGCAAAGGACAGCGAGAGCTTCGACGGGTCGAGTAGAGTTCGATTGGAACGACCCGTCCCACATTCAATTGCTGAATAATTGGCGTCGACAAGCACTTCTCCGAACAGGCCCAAGCATGAGACATGATGCCCCTCAACCATGGTCGAGGGAAGAGGACCAATTCTTGATCGACTTGACCCAGGAGCTCCATGACGAAATGAGCCAAGATCCGGACTGGACCGCCGGCAGCAAATTGAGAGTCACTAACGCGAAGAAGGCGGAGTGGAAAAGGAGGTTCAATAAGCGGTTTACCGGCACAACTCTACCAGGCGCGGACGAACCACGCACTGACCGGACAGAAGGCGCGATTATGCAGCGCAGAGGTCGCATCAGGGAGCTCATCGAACGGTATGGTGTCAAGAAAGATGAGGGCTACTGGGCAAGACTGGAAATGAGCAAGAAGCGCAAGCGTTCAGAGGGCGAGGACGAGAATGGGGACGAGGGGGCAGGCACAGAGCAGCCTACTCTACCCGCAGATGACCAAAATGCCGGTGGTGAGGAAGAGCCCGCGGGTATTGACGAAAACACTCAACAAGCGCAGACATCCCAGCCTCCTCGATATCGGGCAAACCCCATATTTCCCCGAGCGCAGGAATTTCAGTCTCAACAAACGCAGACATTCCAGCCTTCTCAATACCGGGCAAACCCGATATTTCCCCGAGCGCCAGGAATTCCTCTGCAAGCACAGGCAACTCATCCTCAGCAAGCGCAGGTCACTCAGACCGCAACACAGGAGGAAGAACAAGCCAACGCAGGGGAGGCCGCCTCGATAGACACTGACTCAGATGATGACCTCCCTTTGGTTTTCATACGAGCTCGTGATCGGGGGAGACCGAAATGAGGCGCGATGGGGATGTCGCTCCTTTGTGTAGGTGAGTTGCTTGGATATTGACGGCTATTGTTCGATGAGTTTGAGAGATGCCAAGGACAATCGCCTGTCGATGTCGCAGCTTATAGTCGTCTGTGTATCTGGTTCGGATTAACACTTGTCCTGGAGTTCGTACAGTTGAAATCCTGATTATCGTTGTGCAAGAGATCTTATTGCAGAGACCGAGACCAGAGTAACAGCGCTCTATAGATGAAGAATTCAATTGTTGTACAGATTATGATTCCTGAACAGATTAGTCAATCGTTGCATCAGCCGAAGACCAGAGTAGGCTTCGGGAGGTCTTCTCTTGCAGCGTGGTGCAGAGGTTGGTCTTGGCTTTCAAGGTCATCTGCTCTCTGGATCGCATAGTCTTTGCTTTCGGTCGTTTCCCTCAACCGCATCTTGGCTGTATTCTTCTTGCTGGGTTGCATCGAACCGAGTTTAATCGCCTCGTCAGGTAACGGTCGAATGTAAGGCTGGCACACCCACCACGGTCTTCGGTATTTCATCTCAGCTTTCCGTCTAGGCATTAGGTCAGATTGCGATTCCTTCGTCACGTCATCTTCGTTCGTTGTCTCGGATTTGGCTTGTTGTGAAGCGGCGTGGTCATCTAGGCCTTTCTTTACCGCCGCTTCTACCATGGCGAGAACTCTCTCATATCCGTCGATATCCCCACATCTCGTTGTTGCCAACGCATCTCGGATGTCGGTGTGAATGGACACCAGAGGCCTGAGGAGTTGGAACAGGTGCCCTTGCATTGACCTGACACTTGGATCAAACTTTTGCTTAGGACCTCTTGCTTGCCGTTTGCTCGGTCGAATCTCAGATTTGGGGACCGCTGTGTGGGTGTTATCTTCGAGGTCGCCAGGGACATAAAGTGGCTTACGTGTGGGTGGTTCTTTGTCGAGAGAATATCGGTAGATAATGTCGAGATACCTTCTGAACACAGCATCCATACGGTATCCTCCTGTGCCATCTGCTCCATACCAGTATTCTCGGGGGTTGTATTCTGTTGGCGGGTTGGCGAAAATTGTAGGATCACTGAGATTGCCCTCTGCACTCATGACGCCGTCGGCCCCAGTTGCAACTAGACATGACTCTAGATCACCTGAATTTAAAATATTCCCGTTTGCGAAAATCACAGTTTCCGGCGGTAAATGTTCTCGAAGGTACCGTATCATTGACCAGTCTGCAACGCCAGTATTGTGACCCTTCTGTTCCCTCCGTCGGCCGTGCACTGTCAAAATGCTTGCACCCGCTGACAGAATCATCTTTGCATACTCCAGTGTCTTCTCCCTGGTGTCTAGTATTCTCATCTTTGCCGTCACAGGGACGGTTAATTCGTTGTGCAATTTATTGATCATCTTGTAAATAGTGACCCAATCTTCCTGTAGAAACGCCCCATAGCGACCGCATCTGGCGATACCCTGAGGACAACCCAAATTCAAATCAACTGCGTCACAGTACGGGGCCACATATTGGGCTGCCTCTAAAAGGTCTTCGGGCTTGTTCGCACAAAACTGCACAAACAAGGGTCTGTCTAAACTTGGGTTGCCGTCCAGGAAGGGGGAAGATGAAGATTTCTCGGTTGAGCGCAGACTGCCTCTGACAGGCCGGAAGTGGTCGTCTCGAAATCCTGCCGTTTCTCGAAACAGTCTCGCATGTAACATTGGCGTATATGCTAAAAGAGACTTTGATCGCTCTTCATCGAGGTAGGATCGAGTGAGGAGTCTCCAGGCCTGGAGAACAAGTCAACACATGTGGTGAAAGCGTCGAAGATAAAGAGGGAGGACGGACGAATTCAGAGCGCTCGACCATGGGTGCCACGATGTATTTGGGACTGCCGATGCTTTCGTAGAAGGCCCTGCCGGTCAGCTTTGGCGGCGACGACATGTGGCTTGCGCCAGCAGGTACTGTCTCTGCCATGATTTTGGATGGAGAAATGTGTCTTTGGATCTGATGGTACGTGTCCAGTACCCACCGCAGCAGAGGCCTGGACATGAAAAATCTCGGCGGAACAGATCTAGGCTAGCAGAGCATCATATTGCGCGTTGGAGAAGGCTCTCGTTCAGTCAAGCAGAGGGCCGTGAACCCAGATAATTTCGCAAAGAATATGGAGGGGGAACAAAAAATATGAATGGCGCTCAATGGTCACGCACTCCGACGTAGTTTTCTCTACGGTGCGTTTTTTGACCGCTTCCGCAGCACCCACAAACGCACAACACCGAACTCCTGGTCTCTTCAAGAGCCCCTTTCCTGACTTCTGTCAACATTCGATCTCAGCACCGTCAGCAGCATATGTATGGTCAACCCGAGAAGACCTTTCTATCGATCACGAATAAGAACAACTCCACAAGCGCGATTGCAGCCCCTTTGAATCAGTCGAAGAGGAGATGAGTTTGTTCACTGACAGCACAGATTGCTGTCCTCAGTCAGGAAAGCCCAGATATCTTCATCCCCGTCGAGAGGAACAGAGGGCATGAGCATACTGGTATTGGCAACTCAGAGGACCCAGAGATTCAGATTTGTGCGTCGCTTTGAATTTCTGTTTGGTAGCATGGCACACACCCGTCGAATCCCGTTCCGTGCAATACAATATCAGACCTCGAAACAAGCCATCTCATCAAGTCTCGAGAAGTACCCGCCTTTTCAGTATGCCATATCTTCGGCATACGTGTCCGAGATTTACCCAGTTGCATACTCAAAGCTGCACCGCTGATGTCTAACCAGAAAATCCACGTCAGGCGGTGTAAAAAGTCAGCCCTCTGTTGGAGAGCAACACAATCGAACAGTGTTCATCTCCATAACTCATGGCAGCAAGTTTACGCCGCCATCTTCAGAACGAACATCCATCTTACCACCCTCGTCCGCATTCGTCGGTCCCAAGCCGCTGCCAAAGATCTTGTCGATCCGTTTCTCGCGATGCCAGACAATCTCATCACCTCCGTTCCGACAGAGCCGTTTGAAGTATTTGATGCGATGCTGAGGGATCCATTCCTCCTCGGTGGTCTCGGAGATCCATTGACTTGCTGGTATTTCTTTGATACCGGCGAATCTTTCGAGATATCCAATAAGATATTGTGACATGTCGAGACTAGCATCCCACTGAAGTCGATTCAAGACATCTATATCACACGCATGAGGAAGGCATTTTGCGGAGAGCATATGTGCCATACCTTGGGCTGATCTCATCTTTGGCACTGGAACCTCGCTCGGCATAATCGGCCTGTCTTCCTTTCCTCGCTTCCTGTGCTTCGCATAGTGCTCTAGATCTTGTGTTCTCTTCATTTCCTCTTTTTGTTCTTGCTGTCTTTCTTCATCGATCTCTTTGAGGTGGTTTTCTGCAACACGTCTCAAATGGTCGATCGAGTCTGATGACACGCTCGGCGTCGGAGCGCCTCCACGATCATTTCCCGCCATCGGCAATAAAATGGGTCGATTCAGTCTGGTAAAATTGATAATTGAGATGGGGAAGGGACTTGTAATGCAGCCCTCATATATTGGGTTTCACTGGTGAGCTTGAACCAGCTTCGTTGTGGCGCAGCACTAATGCCCGCGCAATGACTCACCTGTTCCTGTGAACAGCTGGCCTCCCCTATCGACGGGAGCTCATAGAGACACATTACGGCTCATTTATGTCGCAGTTGAAGAGTATAGTCATGCCTGTCGACTATGTTGTACTAGAACGAAGCTGTGACGATATCTGAGTCATTGTGATCGCGAGGCGTTCCAACTCGGAGATCAACATCTTCTGCAGCGAGCTAGATGTGTCAGTCTCATCAGTCCACGAATTGTACTCCTTTCGCTTGGACGCACATGGTCCAAGGACCTTCAAAGAGTTTGAGTGCGGATAGACAGTGAGCCTTGGTGTTAGCGAGGAACGAGGTGCAGAAGGCCCCGATTCCCGAGAGTTCGCCGTTAGCTCGGCAAATATGTACCAGCAGGAGCCGCTTTTGTCGTCTCAAAACAACTCTCCCCTCATAAGCGGCGTAGTCGTCCTTCAAGATGTTGAGCGACTCGACTGCAAAAGGAGCTTGAGACTATGCCCTTGGGTCGCGGTGCCAAATTGCCTCTCACAATACGAGTAAGACATGGCTTGGAAGTAACAGGCTGCGGCTCTCGGAGATGCTTGAGCCAATTTCGTGTTATCGAGCATGAAGTACGCGCCCAACATACGCGCCACTGGCCAAGAGGCACGGAGATCGGCTATGAAAATGCCCTGAAGCTCTCTGTCAAGCAATATATTCCCCATGACCGCAAGAACCCAGTGCCTGGCGACATCACCTTCATCGGTGCACATGCCAACGGATTTCCCAAGGTTAGTGCTCTGTTCCGGCTGCTCCCAGCGCCGCTCGACATGTTCCCATACCTGAGATGATCTCTAGGAGCTATATGAGCCTCTATTTGATGATCTGTACAAGAAATTGAGGTCGTTGGGGAGAGGTATCCGTGCAATATGGATTGCGGACCTCGTTCATCAAGGGAAGAGCGCTGTCACCAATGAAAGGGCCTTGGGTAATGACCGTATGTTTGGCACATGTGAAACATTCCGAACCTTACTGACGGGTGGCAGCAAACTGGTGGGATGGCGCGAGAGATCTTCTTTTTCTGATCAACCAGAAGCAAGATGAGATGCCTCAGCCACTTATAGGGGTTGGACATAGCATGGGAGCGTCACAATTGTACATTCTATACCATCAGTGGAAGAACGCAGACCACTGACTATTTTTCAGGGCGCAGCTTTCACTTCTTCATCCCAGACTGTTGCAAGCTCTGATTCTCATTGATCCTGTCATACAAACCGAGAATCCCAGCAAGACGTTCGCCAAGCCATCAACTTACCGGCGAGACATCTGGCCATCCCGCCAAGAAGCCCGGTCAAAGTTCGCGAGCAGCAAGTTCTATCAGGCCTGGGATCCGAGGGTCTTTGAAAAGTGGGTACAATATGGTCTCCGAGACCTCCCAACCGAGCTCTATCCAGAGAGGGACCAGAGCAAAGAGCCACAGGTGACCCTAACCACGCCAAAATCTCAAGAGGTCTTTTCTTATCTGAGACCAAAATATAACGGCACGCCGGGGATTGAACCCGAGAAGGATCGGGCCGTATATGGGGATATGTATCCAGATGACGTGGAGCCAGGGTATCCTTTTTATCGACCTGAACCGGCCGAGATATTCCGCCGGCTTCCCGAACTCAAGCCGCCTGTTTTATATATATTCGGAGAGCACTCTGAGCTCGCAACGCCGGAGCTCAGGAGGAAGAAGATGGCGAATACTGGCGTTGGGGTGGGCGGGAGCGGAGGGCAAGCTGAAGGCCGAGTAAAAGAGATTGTTCTCACAGACTGTGGCCACTTGGTCCCTATGGTGAAAGTCGAGGAGTGTGCTGATGCTGCGGCTTCATTTGCAGTTGCTGAGGCGTCTCGCTGGGAGGAGGGTACGAAGGAATGGCAGACGCGTTGGCTGCAAAAGCCTTGGAGTGAGAGGATCGGTATTGACGATGAATGGAAAAGGATGATTGGTCCGAGAGAAGCGTGACCATCAATAGAGAACTTCTACAAATTCAAGCAAAGATGAAGTTGAGCTCGCTGGTATGCGCATTCGGCCGGTAGATGAGGCAGCCTTGCACGACGGCCACAGCCTTGCGGTTGCGAGCTCCAGGTTCACCGGAAAAACAAATTTTCCGTCACCGCGAGTCGCCCGCCGCATTCCGTGTCTACTCTCAAGTTTTGCACCTTCGCGATGTCCCGCCTCACCATAGTTCCAGTACACGACCGCATTACAGCATCAACCGCGCTTTTCGAATCGCGTAAGCCATCATGGTATTCTTCGCAACCATCTCCAGGTTAGCATACGATTTTGACTTTCGAATAGGTTTACAACTGGGATCCTCACCGAGATGTGCTCTACAAGCTCTACATCGAGGACAGAAAGGTACGTCAAAAACATTGTTCTTATCTGCTGCCCAAGCCCAGAGATCACGCACAACTAACAAGAGTCAGTCCCTCGAGGAGATTATGCAGTACATGCGAGACGCCGCCAACTTCACTCCTTCCAAGCGCGCTTTCCAGACCCAATTTAAGAGATGGGGGTTTCCGTCGAAACGCAAGCCGTCGTTCCGCGACGAGGACCTGGTTGATCGCGTGAGAGAGCTGTGGGAAGCCAACTACAGTCAACGCAATATGCTCCATACCCTTCAAGCCGAGGGCCACGATATCAAAGAACGAGAGCTCATGCGACTACGCGCTAAGAACCGCTGGCTCATGCGAATTCCCAACGGCGCTAAACAAACGTCCGCCGATGAGACAGAAGCCCGTCTCGAAGGCCAGCTGACCGACGCTACGAAGAATGACGAAAGCATCCCTCAATCCGACCATCATCCCATCTTGGACGAGCCGCCACCAGAATTCATGGAGCGTCAAAAGGAGAGACTTCAAGAACTCCAAACCATCAGTGACCAGCGTTGGAAAGACAAGAAACGACGCCGTCGCACCAAGGGGTATGCAGGTCTCCCGCCCGATCCCGCCGGCATGCCGCCGCGTTTTCCTTCCGAGACCACACTTGAGGAGAGTAGGGAGATATTGTCCCTTGATGCGAGACAATATCGGGCCATTCGCGATCAATTCCAAGCGATTTGCGAGGAGGAGCAAATCAAGCAAAAGACCGTTGCTGGAACAGAGAAGTGGCAAGCCGTCAAAGATCGGTTGGTTCGTGAGAATGCACTATTACAGGCTGTGATGTGGCAAGACACGTCGAACCTTCAGTCCAAAGAGCTTGCTCTGGACGTCATCTGTACCGATGTTACCAAGCGGATCCGGACACTGGGCCGAAGATTGACCATTTTAGAGTCCAAGAAGGTGCTTGGCTTGAACCCGGATCAAAGTCGACAAATCCGCAGCGAATTTTACGATATCCTTGAATCGGAGTATTACACCAGTAAACTCGAAATGGGACCAGAGAAGTGGAAGGAACTCAAAGACCGCTGGGTTGCCAACAACTCATATCTTCAAGGCCTCCTCGCACCGGGTGACGCCGACCCCGAGCATAACAGAAAGCGAGCTGCAATGGAACTCTTGTGTCGGGATGTCATGAAGCGTGTCCGGGACGATCGAGCAAAGAAGAAGGGCACTTTTAGGAAAAAGCCCGCACAACCTTTGACCCTTGGAGTGGACATGACGCCTCAGCCACCTCAACCTCCCGCGCCCTCAGTGGCTCCTGCACCAGCCGCTGTCAGCGACGCGTATCGAGACGCCCTGCCTGCCAATCCATATAGTGACGTACCAACCACGACAACGCAGAATGATTTGTCAGACCTTCAAATCGACCCCAATTTGTTGCAAGTGGCCGACCATCTAGGGACCCCACAAGTCTCGAGCGTGACGCCTGTGTATGTTCGTCCTCACCCCAACTCGACCGTGTACACCTCTACGAGACTCTGGCTAGGGTCTTTGACAGGACGCACTGTTCAGGAACTTCGTGCAATGATCGCTGCCAAGTATCCTCTCGCAAAGGCCGAACAAATTAATGGTATCGAGAAAGACGCCGTGGGTAATGAAATCCCCTACCTTATTGAGGAAGACGACGAATTAGAGGCCTATCTCGACCACGTTCAAGGACGCAAGGCTATGTTCGTCGTGCTGCTCGGACGGTCTTGAAGTCGGACATGGTAGGGTGGGATTGGTTCTTCAGAGGAGATGATATTCACGGGATCGATCCAGTATTCAGCTCATTGTCTATTCCAAGCTTGTTTTAACTAGCCGTCATTATTTCTTGGTGCAAAAGGAGGTAAATTACTACCGAAGCCCGGAGTTCTCGGGGGATGGCACTTTCTACGCGCGTCATGCTGCATTGGCACTGTGGGAGGGGCGCTGTGCATGAGGATATGATACGACATTGGTGACCTTTTCATCATGAAAGGAGGAGTCTTTGAGCTAAGGCTCTTAACCTCCCCAAGTATGCATGGAAAAAAGATAATTCGCAGGCGGATAGAAATCTGTGGAGAGGAGACCGATATGAGGACTCAACTTTGTTTAATTGCACCTGGACCCTTTGTGTTGAAACTTGCAACGGTTGGGAGGAGTATGGAGCGTATCCAGGCGCCGAATGGGATAGTGACAGCGTCGGAGCGGCAGAAGCATCTGCCGCGCTGGAGGTCATTTTCATCCCAGATACACACTCGAATGCCGTGTTTTATGTCGACCGTAAGATCTTAGTTCGGGCACAGACGCCGCACCCTTTGACGCGCCATGCCTCGATCAACTCTCCACCCCATTCCTCCCCCATGGGTACATGTAGGTGGAGGGGCGTCTTAGTCCTCGTGGTATGCGGCCAACAAAACCCCTCGCTCGTAATGCTCAGGGATGGAGAAATGCAACACTAGATCTACAGTGAGTAATTCATGGTAAGCGTATCGCCTCAGCTGA